AAACCAACATCTCTTACTCATTTTTTCTTAACTGTCTTACTCATTTTTATATTCTCAAAGCCTGTCCCAGTGTCATACGGTAAATGCCTACCTTATATCTGGTGAATGAGATCAACATTGGAAGTTTCTAGAACAGTGACTGGCAGAGAAATGGATGTTGGAAGTTGCTTAGTCATTACTCATCATATTTGTGAAGAAATATAGCACATTGCACTTCTCAGTTCATGTTAATTTTCCTTACTGAAATAAAGTGTAAATCCTCAATGAACTATTCAAAACCCCTTTTAATATTCTCCCGTTTATCTTTCTAGATTCATCCTCTGTCATTTCTCTTTTTAAAAATCATGTTCCCCACCTAACAAGTTTCTGCCGTGTATCTCTGGTTGCGTCTCACCCCAATAGGGAAGCCACTGTTACTGATGGAAGCCTGTCTCTCTAAGTAGAAATAGGCAGAACCACTGCTGTATAAACGCTGTTTTCTAATTTGTTGGGGCTAATTATGGTAATTGCCTTGAACTTTCAAGACAAAATTGAATTTCCCTCTTTTCCGTAACACACTTTTCATAATACACCTGGCACTTACTACATGTTATTTTAGTTGTATCTGTTTGTTATCTACTAGCACGTGAGACCTTTGAGAGCAAATACTGTGTCTTATTTATCTTTGACTCTCCAGTGCCTAGACTTTGAAGTGTTTCTTGATTTTAAGGAGTGGAATTATATGGGTTACTCACAAGAGGTCAGTGTTGTTTAGGATATCTTGAATAGACATTTGAGAAGGTTGCGACTACCGCTGGCAAGGGAAACAGGACAGAGTTAACATAATAGCAGCCGGCTGCTCACACGCGTTGGGCATTTCTTATGTCCCGGCACTTGACCTGTGTTACTAACACGTTTGCTACAGTAACTCCATGTAGTAGGTGCAGTAATTTAACGTCTTTAACAGATTTAACTGAAGCACAGAAAGGTTAGGGAATTTGCCCAAGGTCATCCAGTTTGGGACTCAGGCTGGTCACTACAGTGCTGTTTTGCCTTCCAGTGAACAGAGAGAATTGGAAACAGTAAGAGGACTGGCCTAACTGGAGCAAGATGGAGGGCTCTGTGACTCACAAGAAAGGACTAATCTGTTGTGATCTTCTCTCTGACGTAGTCCAGGATTTATAATACTAGCCAAGGACAAGACTTCTTAAACTATAAAGTGAATACATGTCCTTTGAGGATCTTGTTAAAATTCAGGTTCTAGTTCTGCAGGTCTGGGATGCGGCCTGAGAGTCTGCGCTGCTAACAAGCTCCCAGTGACAGTGCTGCTGCACTGCGGGCTCCTTTTTGAGAGGCAAGGGTTCGGCCAAAGATATTTGATACAGGACTCTGGTTAGATTCTCATCTAGAAATTCTGAGAGATTCCGTGTCCTTAATTGAGTATGTAATGATGAAATTGCCGTGATACAGAGATTCTGAGGCTCTAGGTACCAGTTCTTTATCCCGGTTCTGTGTTAGCTGCAAAAGCTACTAATGCTCAGGCTGTGCTTCAGAACGAGTAAGAGTATCTGGTGAATGGGTCTTTGTATTAAAAAAATTTTGCAAGTGATTAGAGTGCTCAGCCAAGGTTAAAGAACCATTATAAGCAAACAATTTATTAAACTCTTTTGGAACCTAATGTGCTCCTTTTCATATTAACCAAATCTGTTGTCTGTTGAAATAATAATTGCATTGTGAAAGTTCCCGTGAATTGAACATGACTTGCCGTAAAGACAAATGAGGGCTGTTACCACTGCAGCATCTTGATTAAGGCTTGTGCCGTTGGTGGGCAAATGTTCATTTTCTAAGGACTAAGAATAAAAATGCCAATAATGCTTTTTTCTGGCGAGAATGTTTCTGTAAATTCCAGTTGTATTTTCTTAACCCAGTTTTTTTCTCTTTTCCAACAGGGATTTTTTGCCAGGTGGTAGGAGGGATTATACGGTCCAGGTTCAGCTGAGGCGAGTTGGAAATTCTCTGTTACTTTAATTTTATACTTGCTAACTATGTGCATGTAGTCTTGAATTTGGAAATACATAGTGTGTTTGAGTACACTAAGAATTTTTCTTTCTTTTTTTTTTTAAATGCAGGCTTTGCCTGGCGGAGACAAGTTGCCCTCAAGAAGATAATTATCCCAATAGCCTCTGTATAAAAGTAAATGGGAAGCTATTTCCCTTGCCTGTAAGTTGCTTTTTATTCGCCAGCCTTGCATGTAAGTTTAGTAGAATACTAACAAGGCCTAGAAATAGTGACAACCAGTGAACAGTCCTGGCATCCAGACTGAACACTGTTTTCCCCTAGAGAGATTCATAGCTCCTTGGAAGAATGGCGGTGCCAGGGCTGGGGAAGATGGGTGAGCCTGAAGCATCTTGTGCCAGGAAGCAAGGAAGCTGTGAAGGAGTCCTAGGATCCCGTCACGTGGCCTAGTAGCAGGGCAGGACATGCATATATAGATAGGGCAGCGTGTTGTGCTGGATGTCTGAGTTTAGTTGGGCGCCAGCCATGGATGAGATACAGTTAGAGGCTGCTGAGAGGGACTGGACGTGGAGGCTAAGGATTCCAGGCTTGGGTCTTGATGTACACACATGGGGAATGGATGCAGCAGTATTTGATCGACAACCTGTTGTTTAGGCAGTGAATTAGTATCCAGGCTTCGGCACCTGGCACACTCTTTATGTGTATAGCCTGTTTCTGACCTGACAGATAGCTCCAGGCTCTTCAGATCCTGTTTGTCGAATCTTAGAATAATGCTTCATTGTTCAACTGGACCATGTATCTGTCTCCACTGAGGTTTGGACTAAACTGTGAATTTGGTAGAGTTACGTAGAAGGCCAGCAAAGCCTTAATTAAAATAATAGTAGAGCATGGCCAGTTTCTCGGGAGCTACAGAGTGGAGGTGTATCTAACTGAAGAAGTGCTGTGAGAACAGTGATTCCACCGTTAGGCTAAGTTGCCGTTTCAGCAGAGCCGAGTGACTGTTGAGAAGGAGATGGGCAGCTGTTTAGCATCCCTGGTGAGCACAAGACTTGGCTCTGGAATAAAATACCCGTGAGCAGCTGAGCAAGCCAGACAACATAGTCTAGGACTGGGCTCGACCAGAGCCAAGCGGTTGTTACTGAACCCCACAGTGAGGATGGCTCCTGGCCAAGGCCGACCCTTGTCGTCAAAGACCTGACTTCTTGGTTGTCAGGAGTCTCATTTTGCTCATACTTAGCCTGCGCACTTAGAGAACTGAGAAATAACTGCTTCATGAAATTTATAGGACTTGAGCAATATGGTGCCCACTGCCTCTTTATGAAAGGTGTCTGTAAGGCTGAGGCGATCTAGGGATGAGCAGGGAAAGTTCAGAGGCTGAGTGGACATGATTGGGAGGAATGCTTACGTGCCCTCAAGCACGTTCAAAGCCCAGGTGGGACATTTTGCCTCTTGGGTTTCTGGCAGCAAGCAACAGCAGATCTCAGGAGGTTTTTTTGGCTTTTATCTGGATGGATCATGCAAAGATGTAAACCAAGGGAAGAGGCAGCCTTACTTGGAGCTGAAGGTTGCCAGTGGGTGGCCAGATGTGTGGCAGAGGAAACCTGGAATTTTGGAATGACTCCGCACATTTTCCATGGCTTTTCAAATCCAATCTTCTTTGTCCACAACGTGCTAAGATTTCTTTTGACCTTTACTTTTGTTGCTGTTTAATGCTCTCATTCTCTTGGGAAAAGATCTATGATGTACTTCTTGGTATCTGTAGACCCACCTTGAAGATCTTGTCCAGTATTGAATGACAGTCCCAATGAGGGGCTGAGTCTGAAATGTGTGAGGTTCTACCTAAACTCTGTCATTGCTGCAGAAAATATGGTAGCTACAGAGACGTATACACACAGGCTCCACAGAATTTTCCAAATGGGCCAGTGTCGTACTTTGGTGTGAGATTTCATCCATGAGATTTGGAGCACCACAGAGGATAGCTCTGAATTTGTCACTCTCCCAGGACTTGAGAGAGAAGAAATTAGGCAGTTAAGCCCTTGCTCTGGGATGTTGTTAGTCAGTCATGCTGGTTTCTTTCCAAAAGCACTAACCAACCCTTGAGTGCTTACACTAGGCTGTTTGTGAACATACCAGCTACCACGTGAAACACCCTATGTCTGATGAGTCAGGCACTCGCCTCTGCAGCCAGGGTCCTGCAGGGGCACTTGTGAGTGATGTGAAGAAATGGAACATTAGGACAAAGACAAAAACAGATTTCAGGAACAGAATGCAATAAGGGTGGTGGTGGGGGCAGTGGGAAGCTTGCCTGACCGTGGTAGGATCATCCCAAAGATCAGATGTCAGCCTTTCCCAAAGAGGTTTTTCCTCTTCAGCCCTGCGAGCCCCTGTGGAACAGCTGATGTAAATTTACATGCAACTGATGGAAAACCACTGAGACCTCCTCTGGACCCACAGTTTCTCTTGACTGGAATACTGACATTTGGCGCCTTTACTAGCATAAAGCAAGTTGATGAGAATCATGTGAGTATACTGCAGCCTCAGAAGAAGAAACTAGTGACCCTGTGGGAGCTAATATATTGATCTCTTCACCACCATGGAGATCTTCAGAGACTTGGTTCCAGTTGTAAGAAGCATCAACAGGCCATAAAGGAGTTTGACCTGTGGTCCTTGCCCATGATCCTGGTGTATTACAGAACAAATCTTGGAGGAATAAACTGGACACAGTCATGGGATTTCCAACTAGAGCCCTGAATAAATTGAAATTTGTGTCCTGGGACAAGTCCCTGTGTGTATGACCTTGTGGCAGTATCCAGTCTTTATGGAACCACGATGGTTAGCTGTTAATGCTTCATGAACAAAGAATGAACTGAATGGGAAATGGTATTACTCTGGTGGTAGCAATTTGTCCCTCTCTTCTTGTCTGATAGTGATGAAAGCAGTTTATGTGCCATTTTACCACATCGGGATGATGAGTTTTATAAGACACCTTCATCCGTTGATTTTTCCAGAGTCTCTTGATACGGGAATGACAGTAAGCAGCTCATAGCAGGACTTGTAGAGTGCTGCGTGCAGCGTGGACAGACAAGTGCAGCTGCCTTCGAGAACATTCCCCACACCTCCACCTTTGACTCAAGCACTACCAGTGGACAGACTGATGGCCAGATGACAAAAATTACATCTTCTTAAGGGCAGAAGAGGGAAAAAAACCCTCCTTTATTGGAAAGTTATTTTGGGAGGCTGAATTATTTTTCCTTTTAAACAGATTTTGAGAAATTTTGGTAAACCTGTGAAGTGGAAAGCTTGCGGGGTCTGGAGGTGGATTGACGGGAAAGTATTTCTTGGAAAGATTCAAAAAAATGGAGAGGTTGTGTGCTACAATTCTGCTGGCAAAAATCTATTTCCTCTTTGTGCAGCAGAGAATTTATCAGTACTGGCACCATTAGTCTATAAATTCTCTTTCTGAGTTCATAGATTCCTTTTTCCTGATATATTATCTTTTCCCTGTATGTGTTAGTTATACCAGTGGTCTGCCTCACGGTAAATCTGGATTGAAGTAAAGTCAACATTTTCTTATTTTAAAACACATGTATACACACATGCACACACACAAGCTAATTTGAAGAGATTCCCTTGGCCTGAGTTGGGATAATATTGACATCTAAAAAATACTATGGACTCAAAACCTTCAAATATATAAATGAGTCTTTGATCATACTGAGGTAAACCATTGGAGATTGCACTAACTCATTGCTCTAAAAATTGATAAAGGGGGAGAACTTGATTTCAAGGTAACCAAATGTTGATCTGGTCAGGTTCTATATGGAAAGATTTCAACTAATACAAGCAAAAGAAAGAGTGGATTAGTAAAACCTTTTTTTTTTTTTTTTTTGTCTAATCCGTAGTCATATAGTGGATCTAGGTAACCATCATACATCATCAGTGGATACTAGAACCATCGGGTCAGAGCTGAATGGGGAACTGTGTAGTGACGGCATCAGGCTGACGCCAGCGGAACTCCTGATCCATTATGACATCACTGAAAATGGGGCAAACAGACATGTACCTTGTGATGTGGTACAAGAGGAAGTGTGCAACATTCCCTACATAGCTTTTGTGTCTGAAAATTTGAACTTGAATCTGATCAAGCCAGTACAGCTGATTACCAGTTCAAAACATATGAGAGTATCACACCTTCATACTATGAGGAAGCAATCTACCTAATCCAGGAGATGCAGTCGTTTTTCAGGACAAAAGCCCTGGTGTCTCCAATAAAACAACAGCATTGGGGAAAAACGGGGTGGGGTAAGGGCAGGGGGTGGGAGAGAATAATACCCCTAGTATTTGAATGTGTTTTGAATGAGAGCTCCTAAAAAGAATCAGTGTAAAGGGGTGCGACTTTAGCTTTAAAAAGGAAACAGATTCATAGCCAATATGGCAGGATATCAGCATCTTTCATTTTCTTGATGGATCATGGATTTTTATTGTTGTATTTTTCTGAAGTTGTGAAATATTTTATAATGTTTTGCAAAGGTCAGTTTGGCTTGGTGACCTGAGGGTGAAGACTATATGATTTCCAAGGATAAAATAAAAATAACTTGATGTAACTGAAATTAGGCAAGATACTGTACCTGCCTTGGCGAAAATGTTTATTCCTCTACAGAGAATTTAAAGTTCTTTTTCTTTCTTATGGTTATAGGGCTACGCACCACCACCCAAAAATGGGATTGAACAGAAGCGCCCTGGACGCCCTTTGAATATCACATCTTTAGTTAGGTTATCCTCTGCTGTGCCAAACCAGATTTCCATTTCTTGGGCATCAGAAATTGGAAAGGTAATGATTCTCTTCTCTGAGTAGCATGACAGTGATGCCACTAGGTGTCGGTTTACTTTGTGTTTTATTAGGCTGCTAGCTCCGGCTCGTTCAGTTTTCTGTTTGTAACCCCCAAAAGCAGTAATTTTCATTTCAGGGTAGAGACATGGGGATTCTTCAGGTTAAAAACTACACATTTCTTGCGTATCATCCCCTCATTTTCTTATAAAGGAAATAAATATAATTAAAGTATTTAAGTTAATGGTTAATCACAATTGTATTTATGAGTGTGTTTGAGTAGTATTTTTAAGAAACTGGGAATTTTGGGTGATGTGTATTTATGAAGAGAACAAAGGAAGCTTTATCAGGCTTTGGGGAAAATGGTAAAAGGTACTCAAGTTGTGATTAGAAATAACCTGTTCCAGCCTTTATATGAACAGCTGACACTTCAGATGACAAGTGGGCATCTCGTATGAAAATACTGACTTCGACTTATATTGTTTCCTCCATACTTTTTTGAGAAACCTGACTTTCTCCTGATTCTTGGTCTCAAAATGCATTTTATCACTTATGAGATACTGTTTAATACAACAAGGGATTTCCATTTTAGAACTGCTTGTCTATATAAGTGAAATAATAGAATTGCAAAAGAGGTTTCAGTTAATTTCTGAACATTAGCTTAAATGTTGCTATTTCATAGAAGTAAAGGGTAGTATCCCTATTTATGTATGGAGCTGAGTCATGTTTGTAGCTGGAATTATGTGGTTTTATCACCACGGTGATTGCAGAGCTGGATATGAAGGAAAGTTTTGTATTAATCTTTGGACTATAAAAATATTGCTCTCTCTTTAACAATTGTTCTCTTGAGCTCTCATTTCTGACTTTTTACCGGAACTTGTATTATCGTTAGACAGTGATCCTTAATACTTTTCATTTGCATGAACTGAATGTACAGTGATAAAGCATTATAAAGGGAAAGGGTTCGGGAAATCTTGGTTTAGTCTCAAGTTGGCCAGTTTTGTCTGATTTTGGCAAAAATGCTTAATTCCCTGAGGCCTACTTATTATACAGAAGATGAAAAATCTTGAGAATGGCTCTTATATACAGATGTAAGGCTCATTGTTAAATGAGGAAGTATAAATGCTCTTAAGCTTAGCAAAGAGAATTTGAACAGAAGAGTAATATTATCTTTTTTAAATGATTATTAACTTACAGAGTCTGAGTAAATGATTGCAGACTTTGAAGGCCTGTCAGGGGTTCTCCGCGCCCCCACCCCCGGCCACATAATGGGAATAAAATTCTTTCCTTGCAATTATGATGATTAATTGACTTAAAATTTGCACACTGTATTGTATATTCAGATGTTGAAAGGACTATTGGCAAGACGTTAAAAATGATATTTCAAATATTTGGTTTGGCAGCTATTAAATTAAAAGTGTTTTGTTTCTTATAGAATAGATTGAATGAATATATGTAGTGAAATGGTAAGGTAGATTTTTAGCACTAAGGCAAAATTATATTTCTTCTTTTCATAGCTCTGTAAGTAGCTAATGAAGATGCCAGATCTAAGAGGGTGTGGGATTGGATGCTATTACTTTCTGGCCTTGTCTTTTGTATATTTATCATTTCTTCATGTGTCTTATCTGCTGTAGTAGCTGCCCCTGCCCCAGTAAAATAAATGCCCATTTGGGAACAGAAATTAATGTCCTAATTTTTCTCAAAATAAAGCTGATTTGGGGTTCATATGAATGATTTGCCCAAGGCCATGTAGCAAGTGTCTGCCAGAGTTAGAACTGTGGGACTCTGGATTTGAGGTGTTAATTTAGACCACTGGTACTTGAACTTTGTTTCAGTGGTGGAACTCACTTTTCAATGAAAATATTATCGGAGCTCTTTTACATAAAAACAGAAAATTGTACTTGGAAGTGGTCATGGATGGTATATTGTCACTTACACCATGGTGGCCCCTCGGGTACCAGTTTTGCTAAATTAGAAACACAGTTTGAAAACCACTGATCTAAGCCATCTTACTTTCACTTAGATATTTTAAAGTGATAAGTGATTGAGAAACATCTTTAATATGATTAAGCTTTCATCTTCCCTGAAGTCGCTGAGTTGATTTTGTTCCTTTCTCAGTCATTGACCTTCCTGTGGAAGTTACTTTGAATGTTATTTTTAGAAACCAGAATTTCTTAGACAAATATTTTATGTAAATAAAGAGACTATTGTCTCTCATCTTTAATACAGATTATCTTTCTTTGTAGAATTACTCCATGTCTGTATACCTTGTACGACAGCTCACATCAGCCATGTTACTACAGAGATTAAAAATGAAAGGTATTAGAAACCCTGATCATTCCAGAGCACTAAGTAAGTAATGTTGGTAAGACTGAGCATATGAGATGTTTTAATGGGGGAAAAAAGGCCTCACGTACACATCCATATAGAAACAATTTGGGAACAATTATTAGAAACCTAAAATGAATTTTAAAATGCTCTAAGAACAGAGCCCTATAAATTGAAAAACCCTCCTCTTAGAAACCACTCCCAAGAGGATTAATTTTAAATCCCAACTAGTCTGATTTTTTTTGCCTTTTTATAAGAAGTTACTTAGATAAATGTCAAGTTGATGGCAATTTTAATGCCTACATTGGCTTGAGAATAGGAATGCGAGTCTTCAAAACCTCCATTGTGTGGTGTGATGTACATTTACGAACTTCTAACTAAGAAGAAGGTCTTTTTGCAAAAGAAGTGTTGATATCCATCCAATATTTGCTTTCTGAGGTGTTTTATTTTGTACTTCGCTTTCATACTGTGTAATAATAGGTAGAGAAAAAAGTCTAACCCAAACCAAATTATTTTCAGCTTAGTAACTAAATTTAAGTGAACAAAACATTTTTTTTGGGAAAGAGTGTATTTTTCCCCCAGCTACTCCCACGTTACTGAACAAACCAGAAAGGAGATCTTTAGGTTGAAAGGGGAGCCAAGTAGGGCTGTTGAAATGGTATTTTGTTTTTTTATGCTGAAGCCATTTCTCACTTCATACAGCACAGTATTGATCTTCCTGCCTAGAGCTGAGAGCCAAGGAAGCTCTTCCCTAATTTTTCTTACCCTGCTTCAGTTCCACTGTCTCCACTTCCAGTCCTGTTCTCCTTGTGGTGGTGTTGAGAATTCGGCATCTGCAGGCAATATATGTATTTATTTGCTTGTATAGACAGTAACTTGCATGCATTACCCAGTGAATAAGATCACAGACACATGTGTTCATCCATAGTAGGTTTCAGTTGTCAGAGGAAATACAAGAATATCTTACCTTTTCTGTTTACAGATTTGACAGTTGTTGGAAATTACCGATATTCCCTAATTAAAACATTCGTGAATGTGTTTTAGAAAAGCACGGAAGCTCAGAGTACCACTGCCTTCCAAGTTCCTTTCCTAATTGAATGGTTCTGAGGTCTTAGACAGCTTTCTTTTTGAAACACTTCCTTACCTGCAATGTTACTTTTAAAAAGGAGTTTTAAACATTCAATTAAACATTTGATCTAGAGTTTGCAAGTTTGTAATTTTTTAACCTAATACTGAAAGTACTGTGTTTGCAGTACATTAATACTTAACACTTTGGTTTTTTGTTTTGTTTTTGTGGTTTCTTGACCTATTTGAAGTGTTTGGGAAACTTTAAATAAGATGATAGGTATTTGTATAATTCTGTGTATAAGTCACAATTAATTTTTTAAACTTTTTTTTTAATTTATTTTCCTTTTTTTCAAGTTAAAGAAAAACTTACTGCGGATCCTGATAGTGAGATTGCCACCACTAGCCTTCGGGTCTCCTTGATGTGCCCTGTAAGTACAGTGATGGAGCATTCTGGGGCATTCTACTTCTTATAAATTACTAATTTTCCTATTAAAAAAAGTCAGTGTGGGAATGAGTGATATATTATGATAGAATTTTGAACTGTTTTCATTTTCCCATTAAGGACTTTGTGGTTAAGCATTGTAATTCCAAAGAAAGCAAACATTCTTCAGGCAATGACAAAGCAAGGAGAGGCCTAGAAGGATGTTATATCCAAAAGGGAAGAGAGATTTAGGTTCAGAATAATCTGTCACTATTAGTGTAGATAATCCACAGCCAATACTGAGTATATATAGAGAATTGGCTCCTTTTTATTTTTTAGAGGGGGACGTAATTAGGTTGATTGATTAATTGATTGATTGTCCTGGGGACTGAATCCAGGACCTCGTGTACACTAAGCAGGCACTCTACCACCCTCCCTGCTGAGAGCTGGCTCCTTTTATCAGAATATAAATGATATTCAAAACTAGCAATAAGATTATTAGGAGCTAATAAATGCTAATTGATAGTTCTGGCTTAATGAATTAGAATGTGTGAAGTGTCTTAATCTGTTTATAATGTACTTCTAAATTGCGTTGTTTTTAATTTTGTATTTCCTAACATAGAGACTGTGAGGGAGAAAGCAGTCAGCAACTCTGAGATCCTCCTGTGTGCTTGGTGCTGAGCTAATTGTGGGAGAAAATACGGAAGACTTGATAAGGAGTCATCAGAAAGTTAATAGCCTAGTTTGAGAGAGAAAACCAACTCCCGTGAAAAAGTAGACTTACCACATGTAACTGTGCTGCTGGAGGACTGGAGAAGAGATGAGGGGTGTCAGGAATAGCGGATGAGGTCTTCTTTAACATCAGTACTGTTGGAGGGGACCCCTTCCAGATGAGAGGAACTTTATGAGAAAATATGTAATGTAGCTTGGGGCGGGTATTTGGTGACCAGCTACCACTGTGAGAAATGTGTAGTTTTTCAGATGGAGGGAGAATTGGTCAGAGAGAGAAGGGAACCATTTCTTGAGCTCCTATTATCTGCCCCTTATGCTTTCTCCTTAGCAAGCCTGTATGGAGTTGTTCCCATTTTGCAGATGAGAAACCTGAGGCTGAAAGAGGTTGGCTAACCCACATCACACAGTTAGTTTGTAGTTGAGCATGGATAAAAGTTTTGCTCTTCTGACATTATTCTGATTCTCTTAACAATATACCATATTGCCACATTGGGCCAAAAATACAAGTATCCTGACTATATGTCCACCTCTCTGCCATCCTGGAAAGCAGTGTTTACAAATACTGTTCTTTCTAAAAGCTTTATTTTTTATTATCATTAACTTTAGCTTACCTTTATGGAAAAGGGATAGAATTACATGAACTTGGGATTGCTTTGAGACTGGGAACCTGTGGTTATGAAACAGAGAAGGTCTGCAGGAGGCCACTGATGCCCTGAGGTGGTGGCAGAGGCCACGTGTTTTGACCTGGGGCCACCTCTACTCGCAAGCTGTGTGCAAACCTTCAGGCATGAGGTCTTTTGAGTGTTTTCACTTTACCTTTCTCTTCCCTCTCGCGTTAAAATTGATACTAAGTTGAAACACGTGACATTGCCACTTTGGTCAAAAACAGTTAGATATTGACAGTTTCTTAGGGTTTAACTGCAGTAAATTCAGCAAATGTTAATTGCTAGCTGTTTGGGGCGGGAACTCATGTCACCTGTATTAGTATGTCAGACTGTTCTATCAGGAAGAAAGTGCCTCTACACAATTAACCTAAGGAGCTGTACAGTTGCACAAGGCCATTTTCTGTAAGTCTTGTATTCTTGGAACCTGTTTTTTGCTTTTTTCCTTCAAAACACTGTGCCATTCTACATGAGAACAACCAAAACAAAACACAGCAAGCAAACTAATGGATTATCAGACTTTCAAAATAGTGAAAATGATATATGGAAGTGGTTATATAGGGTTTCTTCTATATAAAAATAGGGAGCATTCCTTTTAAATGTGTCAATTTTAATAAAACTGACAGTTTTAAGGAAATTAACATTTCAATTATTTGAAGTAATGATGTAACAAGATTCTGTTTTCAGTTCATTAAATGTTTTCTTACTCTTTACAAGTGAGAACAGGGCTGTCTGTCTCTGAGACTGTCTTTCGAGCTTTATCGCAGCATTTATCCTGCCTGTTTTTTCCAGAGGACTTTCTGAGGAAAGCGCACGCTACTCTTCTGGCTGTGCTAGGGATAAAGTTGGGTGGCTGATTGTAGGATGTGGTATATGTTCTTGGAAAACTCGACACCAGTGTTTTGATCAGATTTAACAGATAGATTGATAAAAGTTAGATGATGAAAGTAGTTTTGGAGGCAGAGACAAGTACTAGAAGCAGTTGAAGAAAGCAGAATGGAGTGCAGCTGGCTGACTCTGGAAATAACTCAGGGTCCTGGGTGATGACGGGAAATGGAGAAGGAAAAACAGGATCGTAGGCGCCTGGAAGGATAAGCGGTGAACTGTGGGTTTATCAGGCAAAAGTGAGAGAAAATGCTAGCTTAACGTGGTGGGAGAAGTGTTCTATTTCACAATATGTAAAGTGATTTAGGATAGACACGAGTCTGGATGGTGAGAGCACAATGCAAAAACCTCTGTCCCTGGGACGTAAGGAAGGTAATTTTATAGTAGTTGTTGAAGAGGGATCTGATTGAGTGCGTATAATAATATTTTTGAACACGATGTCTGAATTTTACACAAGAGTGCCATCTTAGTGATATTAGCTAGTGATTTTCATTCTGTCCCATAGGGTGGGGGAGACAAACTAGATTTGATTTTTATGGATTAAGTTTCTGACTCATATATTTAAAACAAAATAAGGTTCTGCTTGTTTCTACAAATAGTTTGGAACCACTGATTCGGGCTATTTTTACACATACTATACTCTTAATTTAGACAGATACTAAGTAGTCTACAATGAAGTAAAAATCAATTTAGATACTACCTGCTTAATATTAATTTAAAAAGTTGCATATCCAGTGTTAGATACCATTTTATTCATAAAGTCAGTAAGTTTCAAAACAGCACCATCATCTGACTAAATAGAATTCAGCACATTCAAACCTCTTTTTTAATTAACATGCCATAATAAATATTAGGAAATTGGTCAGATTTTGCCAGTTTGTAATAAATGCTTTCTTAACTTGGGGAATGCTCATTAAGTCTTGTAAAACACTAGAGTAAGATGAAATGTAGGATCGGCAACTTTGTAGTCCTGAATGTTTTCATTTCTTTGTGCTGTGGAAATTCTAAAACAGTGAGAGGAGAGATGAAAATGGCATAGAAGAGGAAGAAAAAGGAAAAAGCAGTGCTTTGCAAATTGCAGCTCAGGGATACTTGGGGATCCCTGAGACTCTTTGAAGAGCTCCTCTAAGTTAAGACTATTTTTATAATAGTACTGGGACACAATTTGTCCCTTTTATGCTCTCATGCTTTCCTGGGTAGACAGTGGTACTTAATAGGTGTTACCTGACAGTGATGATGTCATTGCTGTGCTGTCTGATGGAATGTGTACTTGTGTATTCTTGTGTTTTAAAAATGTCTTTAATTTCTAGTACAGTAAATATTGATACATACAACTTAAATGCATAAAAATTCCTAGAGGTTCTCAATTTTTAAGAGTGTAAAGGGATTCTGAAATTAAAAGTTTGAAGACCAGTTGGCTGAAAAAACCATAGTAGGCTTAGTTAGAGGATTATTTTAAAGAAACAAATTATAAACATTGACAGATGATGCTGACTTTATTATACCATTGTTCAAACAAAAATGAAAATTTTAAATTACTAAGGTCTATTTGGAAGTAACATTATTAATAGTACGATATGAAAAATCCTACCCATTAGGCAGAGTTAACGGTGTTACAGTTTTGCTGTGACTTCCTTTGTGATGTATGTAAAGAAGTCCTTCCTTTTCTTTCTCTTTGCCATTTACTCAGTCTCTCTCCATTCATTCTGCCATCTGGTTGACAGATACTGAGCAGGTGCTGAGTGCTTGGTAGTGCGTTGTGACACTTGGATTACAGTGGTGAACAGCATCGTAGACCTTGTCCTTGCAGGGCTTGGTGTGTAGGAGGAGAAACAGATTTTCTATCAGAATAAAAGAGCTGGTAACAATTTCTGTAAAGGGAATATACAGGGAGGTGTGAAAGTCTGTACAGAAAGGCTTCATCTGGTCTAATCTCGATGCTGTGTATGTCTTGTTGATACTCTTCTTCCAGTTGGAGTAAGAATCCAACAGAGCACTAGGTTATATGAAAGTATATTGAAATATCAACATACGTGATTATATAAAAGTAAAAAATTTTCATAAGTGAAAAATGCATTTGCAACTTATATTATATGCATAAGGCTGATTAATATAGGTAGCCAAAGATTAGTAACCAAGTGGAAATGATAAAAGGTTATGAATAGACAGTTCTTGGAAACACAAATGACCTTTAGAAATTAAAAAAAAAAGAAGAAAGCAGCTCAACTTCACTTACAATAAGAAATGTACTCCCCAACTATAGTGGGGTATTTTTCACCTGTCAGATTGACAGAAGTTGAAGGATTCAGTAGCACTGTGCTGACAGCGTTGAGGGGAACCAAGCCCATTAGTACATGTGCAGGTGTAAGTCAGTAGGTAACCTACGTGGAAGATACTTTGTCAATGTGACAAAAATCACGAAACACTTTTTATTTGACCCCAAAATTTCACTTTTAGGAATTTATCCTAAAGATAATTTATTGCAACATTATCTGTAGTGATAAAAGATTGGAAACAGTTTAAATGTCCATCACTAAGGAGGGTACTGGTTAAATAAATAATGACTCTTCATGTCATATACTTCATATCAGTTACGGTACCTTCATGGTAACTTCTTATGTACCGATACATGTGAAACAGGCAACAAGTTGTATTATGTGACAAAGTACAGAATTGTGTGTATTGCATGCCACCATTTGTGGGAAGTATTTTTTAATTTGATTTGCATAGAGCATCTGTGAAAGGACATGCAAGAGATGGATAAGTGGTTCCCTCTAAATAGGAGAACAGATGAGAAAGACATGTTTTCATTGTATGTGTATCTTTTTCCGCCTATGAGTTTATAAGTTACCTTCTTTAGAAACTTGAAATAGTCTTTTAAAAATCACAGTCAATCAGTGAAACCAAATGAAATGTACAGTGATCTTGATAGAAATAAATTCTAGTTTGAATTTCTTTTTCGTTTTGGTCTTCTTCTGTGACTTCTTCAGACTTTTATGACTGACTGTTCCTATTGAGGCTTGGTTTTCCGTTCTGAAATGTTTCCCCGTTGTCTTCCCTGTCCTGTAGTTAGGGAAAATGAGGCTGACAATCCCGTGCCGTGCAGTGACTTGTACACATCTGCAGTGTTTTGATGCGGCCCTTTATCTGCAAATGAATGAGAAGAAGCCCACCTGGATTTGTCCTGTGTGTGACAAAAAAGCTGCCTATGAAAGTCTCATTTTAGACGGGTAGGTATATCTCAGCATATACTTAACTACACTCAGTCTTAGTTTTAAACTGTGGTTAGTGGCCCTTTTATCTTTACAATATTTGTGTTGGGGGCAAGAGAGTGAGTAGTTTCCTTTTCTTTTTGCTTTCCATGATCAGATTTCCTGGCCCATAGGAAAGAAGGTAAAGTCACCTTAGTGATGTCATTTTGCCTACCTAGAACTTCTTGAAGAGCAGTTAGGTCTATGGAGAAATGCAGAGCAAGGGGTAGGGTACATAGAATTTTGTTACGCAGCTGGTAAGTTCAAAACTGGAATTCACTCCCTAGGTATTATTTTAATTTAATTCATTCCCAGGGTATTGATTTGTCTATATTTATGTCATATTGTGCTGTCTGGAAATCAGGGTAATGTGGATCTTCCAGCTTTGCAGCTTTGTTTTTCCAAAATTATTTTAGCAATTATAGATCTTTTGCATTTCATTGCAAATTTTAGAATCGATTTGTCAATTAGAAAAAAATCCTGCAGAGTCTTTGACTTGTATCATGTTGAATCTATAGATGGATTAAGGGTGTATTTGTATCATGTTGAATCTATAGATACATTAAGGGGTAGATTAAGGGTGACTTTGCAGTACTGAGTCTTCTGATGCATGAATATGATATATCTCTTGAGTTAATTAGGTCTCGGTAATGCTTGGTAGGTTTCAGTATATGGGTCTTGCATGCTGCATGTCAGATTTATCTCATTCTATATTTTTGATGTATTGTTTTTATATTAATTCTAGCTGTTGTATATAGAAATAAAATTGATTTTTGTATATTCTATCTTGAAACCTTACTAAATGTATTTTTGTAGTTCTAGTAGTTTTATTGTACAGCATAGGATATGCTGTAAGAATAGTAATTTATGAATACAGACAGTTTTATTTCTTCCTTCTTAATCTGAATGTCTTTTATTTCTTTGTCTTGCTGTCTTGAACTGACTAGTCTGTTAACATATGGTGATTGATACTGACTTTCAGATATTAAACTAAGCTTGCATTCTGGGGATGAACGCCACTTGGTCATGATTTGTTATATTTTTGTATGGTTTATTGTTGGATTTGTTTTGCTGAGTTCATGAGAGAGACTGGCCTGTTGTTTTCTTGTAATGTTTTTGTCTGGTTTTAGTATCAGGGTAATGCTGGCCTTAAACAGTAAATGAGCTGGGAGGTGGTGGTATTATGTCTCCTCAAATATAGGGTAGAATTTCCTAGTGAAGACATTAGGGTCTGGAATTTTTTATGTAGTAAAGTTTTTACAAATGCAGTTTCTTTAATAGACATAGGGCTAGGCTATCTTTTTTCTTTTTTTTTTTGAATGAGCTCAAGTCTGACTAGAAGTTTGTCAGTTTTATTGATCTTAAAGTACCAGCTTTTTGGTTTCATTGATTTTTCTCTGTTTTCTTTATTTCTTGTTTTGTTTGTTTCTGTTCTTTGTTATTTCCCTTCTCTGGTTTACTGTCACTTTAATTTGCTCTTTTTTTCCTTCCTCGTTTCATTTAGGGCAGAAACTGAGGTTATTGATTTGGGTCTTTCTAATATAGGAAGATTGCATTGCTTGAACTTCCTTCCACAGATTTTATTATATTTTCACTTCAATTCAGTTCAGGATATTTTCTGATTTCTGTTTTTATGTTCTCTTTGTTTCATGGTTTTCGTTTCATTTCCAGGTATTTTTCTGAAGATGATTTCAAATTTAATTTAACTTTGAGCATAGAACATAACTTGTATGCACTGAGTTACTTTAAATTTATTGAGACTTCTCTTATGTCCCTGTTTCTACCTCCTTTCCCTACCTCTGTGATCCTTTTTTCTTGATAATAAGCTTATAAATTATTTTTATTTAGTGATTTTTATGTTTAATGTTTGTTTTATGTTGAAGGTGGTTCTTCCCTGCCAGTCCCCGCCAGGAGGCTCCAGGTGTCTATTTCTGTTTAGTCACTGATTATTTTAGTTGATACTCAGTAAGTCACTGAATTCTTTAGTTGCTCAATAAAGATCTAGAACCTAGGAGGAAGGGGGTTATGATAGTTGTTATAAAGTGTGATGCATTAAAATACAAAACAAACCAAAAAAGCATGACTTTTGTCTCCAAGGTAAAATGTATTACTTTGTTATTTCACCTTTGAACAAAGCCGTTTGATTATATTTATGTACTTCTTAATTGGCTTATAGGCTTTTTATGGAAATTCTCAATGACTGTTCTGATGTGGATGAGATCAAATTCCAGGAGGACGGCTCTTGGTGTCCAATGAGACCGAAGAAAGAAGCTATGAAAGTATCCAGCCAACCGTGTACAAAAATAGAAAGTATGTGCAGAACAGCAGCAGAGAGCGAAGCAGGGAAGCTCGTGCAGCGCTGTCTTTGTCATTAACCTTGGCGGCTAGAGCTGCCATGTGGAGCTCAGTTTGCTCACTTTATCTTTTGATCAGCTGTTACATATGTGATGTCTCCCTAGTGATTTTTATTCGTACGCGTGTTAAAGTTTATACCGTGTTATAATCAGTCTTTTCATAGTATATTTTTCTTACATAAAGTAAAACAATCACCTAAAAATCACTTTAATATATGGTGCTTGTTACAACATGAAAAGTTATAAGTGAGATTTCTGCAATTTTTCAGAATTGTTTTTGCAGCACCTGTTAGAGGAGCCCCACGGGGTAGAGGTGTGATTAGAGAGGTGGCATCATCCATTAATGGAGGGTGGGAGGAGGTGGTCAGAGGTTAGTTGCTGAAAAGTAAACGGATTGTCTCCATCTCTTTGTGGGAAGACATTTGACCATTGTCATGGTTACCAAGGATTTATACTTAACTCAGCCTTCAACTCCCTGTCCACGCTGAGTAAGGAAGCTAAGGGCAGTTTGAGTAATTGAAGCCCATAGGTAAACGTAAACTTACTTTTCATCTGACATAATCCACGCAACTGCATTTGAGTTTTATGCTGACTGTGTTTAACATTTCTGGTAATGAGATGAATATAAGAGGTTCGGAGTAAGAAATGAAGAAAATAGTAATCATTTAATCACTATTAATCATTGTCCTGTGATTGTTACTGACCCTGTGGGTGAAATGATCAAACTTTCCCTCATTTTTCGAGAAAGATCATAATTTACGTAATTGGTTACTTACTTAGTTTTCTGTTATCAAGTAGCATTCGTTTTCTACTAAATAGAACGTAGGGCATAATATACCTTCTTTGAATTGGTGAGTTAACTTACAGTGTGTGATATCTTGGGCAGGAAGGATCTAAGTGATTAGTAGAAAGTTGGTAAGAAAAACTTTAAATGTCTGAGTGACTTAAGTGAGATGTTTAAGGTTTTTTTCAGCTTGTCAGGGTGAAAATTTTTATCAAGTTCTGGCTTACAGTGAAGAGCCATTCTTTGATATGAGCACCATCAATAGCTTTGCTAGAATGCAAGTATCTGATCCTGACCTGACAGCACCACACGTCTGTGAATACGCAGCCGGTAAAGCCATGTAACTCTCGTCCATGGCCAGAGTGTAGCCCCCGGACTCCAGCTGTCTAAAATGAGTGCTTACCTGGGGAAGCGTGAGGAGCAGAATCTGCGTGTGTCTGCCAGCAGTGCTGGGGAGGTAACAGAGCTGCCGTCGGAAGGAGGCTTCTGATCCTCTAACATGGCATAAAGCTCACCCTACCTCCATCAGTAAGTAATTTTACAGACAGACATCTGGAGTTAGGGAGTTGGCTTCTGTCCATGGGCCAGAGTATGCGGTTTTACTGGCTGTGAATTCTCCGGGACATGCTGCACAGTTAAGGCTCTTATGGCTAGAGTTTGTGTGACATCCATGATTTTTTTTTCCTTCTGTTTCCTACATGCAGCTTCAAGTGTCCTCAGTAAGCCTTGTTCAGTGACTGTAGCCAATGAGGCGAGCAAGAAGAAAGTGGACGTTATTGACCTAACGATAGAAAGCTCTTCTGATGAAGAGGAAGACCCTCCTGCCAAAAGGAAATGCATCTTTATGTCAGAAACACAAAGCAGCCCAACCAAAGGGTTTGTTAATTTATAGTTCACTATTGTTTATTACACGTGGAACTAACTGTTCTCGGGGTAGGTTTGTACATATCTCTGAGAGTTGCATAACCATAGAAGGCTGTTTTAGTTTGCCTTTTGTTTAGCTGAAATATTTTTAAGTGGGCATGTTGTTTATAGGAAAGCAGATTTTGGTGAAGAAAATATTCCCATCTTTGGGAAGAGAGAGTTGAAATCTCATGTCTAAGGATTTATTTCGCATTTGATACTCATTTTCTTTAACCTATTTGTAACTAGTAGATTTGGCATCAGAGACCAACATGAGCAAGCCTAGAGTGTGGAGCGTGGAATTGGAAATCTGACGAGTGTGGATTCCAGTTCTGTGACACCATTGCTTACGTTTTCTGTGATCTTGGATGAAATACGTGTTTGAGCCTCCTTTTTTCTGTTCAGTAAAATGGGGTTAAGTAATGCCTACCTCATAAGCTTATATTCAGGTTTCAATAAGATAATGAAAGAGCATCGCCTCAGTGTCAGGCACATGGTAATTTTCTCAATAAAAATTGATTGCCTTCCGATCTCACTCTCTCCAGGGCAAAATATGAGCAAGTAAATGCAGTCCAGCGTGCATTTGTGATTTATCTGGTGGAAGCTGTTGCTGACCTGTAAGTCAGTGACAGATTTGAGTATTTAGCAAGAGGTGCTTCGTAGAGATTTGGAACCTGCAAAAAAGTAGCAGAGGGTCCTCTTGACATCCCACAAGCATATTGTTTCAGTTGGGTGTGCCTGTCTTGTCTTCTTGGCCTTTCGGTACACTTTTCTCTAATGGCTTTATTGGAATATAATTTACGTACCATAAAATTCTCCCATCTTAAGTATTCAGGGGCACAATTCAGTGATTTTAGTAAATTCATAGAATTGTACACTCATCGTCACAATTCAGCTGTAGAATATTCTCAACACCCAGTAAACTCTTGTGTTCATTTGTAGTTAATCCCCATGCACACCCCAAGTCTAGGCAACCATTCGTCCTCTTTTCATCTATAAATTTGCCTGTTCTGGACATTTTATGCAAATGAAATTGTATTCTTGGTGCACTTTTGCAACATTCTTTGTTTGAAACCAGGAGAATTAAACTTTTTGTGCTGCCTTCTTCACTGTTAAAATACTTGTATTTCCTGATGTGATTTACACATAGTAAGGTGGGTTGTTTGTTTGTTTGTTTAAGCAGAACAGAAAATGAAATAAGTATTTCAAGTGGGGTTTTTTTCTGGGATGCTGATCGTTTATTGTTCCTTTCAGACAGTTTGGTTGGCACTTACAGAATTTAAATGGCAAACAAAAAATGAAAATATAATTTTGAAATGTTTACTGAAGTGGAGACTCATGGGAATGAATAGTTAGATGTGGTATTTCCCGATTTTACACTCTAATGATATCCTTCAGAATATGCTGGAAAAACATGAGTTGCACAGTACTGTAGTTCGGTGGATTCATGCCAGGTTGAAGGGTCATGCAGAGCAGTGTGGACTCATGAATTACTGTGATCTTGGAGGGTGTCTGTGGTGGCTTGCCATCAGGGTCTAGCCTCTCTGTGACCTTTAGCACATTTTACCAGTACTTGATGAAGACTCAAAACTGGAGGACTGGCACTTACATCAGGTAACAATCTGAAGTGACTTCAGCATGCAGAGGGATCAGGATGGTTCACACCACCACAGAGACAGCCGCCATAGACAGATGTCAGTCTCCTCATCTAGGGTCAGAAGACAAGGAAAACTAACATTGTGAGTCTAAGTAGAAATTTGTGACTAAACTAGTAACACATGAAAGTTTTGGTTTAAAATGTCTATAAATTGAAGCCAGCCAGCTCATTCCACAAAGTCGACATACCTCCTAATATCCAAACTAGACTTATACGTCAGTAGCCAAACAGAAAAACCATTATGAAACAAGCTCACATGACGAAGATCGGTGAAAATTCTGAATTCAGTTTTAGGAAATCATTTAATTATATATTAAAGTGGCATTCATGACCACCAAATAGGATTTATCCAAAAATGCTTTCTTATTAGGAAATACATTGATAAAATGGATCTTGTCATAAAGACAAGTCAGCCCTCCATATCTGTGGATTCAGGCAACCTGAATCATTACAAATATTTGGGGGGAAAATTTTTTTTAAGTTCCAGAAAGCAAAATTTGAAGTTGCTGTTTACTGCCAGCAACTATTTACATAGCATTTACATTATACTGGGCATTAAAAGGTATAAGTATGTAGGAGGATATGCAAATACTACACCATTTTGTATAAGGGACTTGAGCATCCATGGATTTTGGTACCCATGGAGCAGGTGTGTTGCGGTCCATGGAACCAATCCCCCATGGATACCGAGGGGCAACTGTGTGTAATCATCTTAATAGATGTCGGAAGGCATCAGTAGATTAATGGCCATTCCCGATAAAAACTATTTAAAATGTCAGAATTCACTAAGCGGTTTGAAGGGTTCACTACTTGAGCTGATTTGTTCTTAGACTGTATTGTTAAAGAAGCAGTGTCCAGGATACATACCCGTGCCAGTTCTGTTCCATTGTAGGTGAGATAGCTTTCACTTAGACCATTTGAGTGGGTGTTGATCATCAAGAAGGGGATTAACGAATGAGTACAGCCAGAGGAGAGGGATAGGATGGTCGCAGTGGGAACTGTAGCCTGAGGGGTGAATGGGTCCTAAGGACTGAAGCTGTTAAGCTAGGAGAAGAGAATGGGATATAGTTATCTTCTAGTTCTTGAAAGGGAGTCATTGATTAACTGGGTTAAGCTTGTTCTTTGTTATACCATCTGGCAGATCTAAGTCCAGTGGGGGAAAGATACATGGAAAAACTTTCCATTGGAGTTTTCTGAACACTAAGAAAGTTGATGTTTTGTGCTAAACTCACATTTTCTGTTTGAAGGGAGAGTGGATGCCGCCTGTCTCGGTGGAGACTCGTGCTGTGGTTATATCATCTCTGTGATCCCTTCCAGCTCTTAGGCTTCGATCAGGTTTTGTTCCTGTCATTCTTCTAATATCCTCTCTTTTGCATCAGCATCTAGAATTTTTATGGGTTTTCTCTGAGGTGTAAGTTTATCATAGGACTTCTTGGTCAGTGGTAGTAAGCAAAGGAGAAAGAATAGAGAAAAAACCAGGAAAACTTATTTTAAGTTACAATCCCAAAATCATCTGAGCATTATTGTTTTTCAAGACATATTGTTTAAGAAAAAAATTATAGACAGTTTTACAAAGCACCAAGAAGTAAAAAGTATTCTGCCCAGAGATAACCACTGGGAACATTTTGATGGTAATTCTTCTAGCCTCTTTCCCTGCATGCCCTGTCAGAAGAAACTGGCCCCTTAATCTTAGACTTTTAGAAAACCTCTGATAATTTTTCTACATTAAAAGATAATTTTAAATATTATGCCCCTACCCCATTCCTAGAAAATTGAATGACTGCTTTGTTATTAATAACGAAGTATTCTAAAGACAGGAAACTAAGATTAGAGCTAGATTAAGAATCATTAGGAATTGGTATCAAATTGAATCTTTTAAAATATTTGTATGATCATAAAGTGGGAGCACCCAGTGAATTTCAGGTTTATGGATAAAAGTTCAAGTTATTGAATTTTCGAACATCTAAGTCTGGGCCAAGTATGATGAACTAAGTGATCCGATACACAGTCTGGAATACCAGTGTATGCTGTCTAGCAGCGTTCCAGCAGTTCACCCTTGTGCTGTGATATTATGTATGGATAACGCTGTAAAATTTTAAAACCTATGTACACATACATAATGTACACGTATGCCTGTGTATTTGCCGATCCTGTGAGGAGGGGGTAAAATATAAAAACTTTTTAAAATGTTTCATTATTTTATAGCATCACATTTTTATACCCGCAATTCCACCAGACATAGCCATTTACATATCTCCATGATTCCTTTTACTCCATATCTATAAATCTGTGTTTTGCATAAGCATTAGAATAATTTACCTTTCTGAGCATGGTCCTTGTGAAGATTCTGATTCAAACAAAAATCTGCTACCACTAGGTAATTTGATATCCTAGCAAACAGCGAATTTCACCCATTCTATATAAAGTTGAATTTGTGTTCATGGCTGCAAATTTCAGGTAATGGAAATTAATCTCCACTAAATTTTTCAGATGTTTGCTGAGGCTTTAGATGTTAACTTAATAATTTTGCACTGTCACTGGATTGTGCTATTTTCACACGTTGTGACAGCATTTTGTATTGGAGAAACATGGAGTAGTTACCTAGTCACTGAAGGTTTCATGTTAAGAGACGTGTGTGACGTGTGTTGGGACATTGACCTCAGTCCTGTACAAATGTAAGTGAAGGGGCCAGGGTGTGAAAGTGTGTTTTGTTGTTGTTTTCTATAGGTCTGATCCAGGTTGAAGGGTCAGCTCAGGATCAGGACAGAAGACAATCTCCAGTGTGAGTTATCAAAGGAAGAGAGATGGGGAGCAGGAGGAAGGCAGCCATTGTCTTTTTCTTGTAAACCTGAAATTTTTCTTTCAGTTTCTTTTCAGTATCAGAGAAAAAGTGATAGATTAAGTGTACTTTTAAGTAGGAACTCTTTAAAATAAATGAAATCAGATGTATGTTTGTGTGTGTGTGTGTGTGTGTGTGTATCTTCTTCAAAAGCTTGCCTTTTAAATTTAAGAAAGTGTATATAATTAAGATTTATTAATGTTGTGAGGAAGGCAGAATAATCAGAGCCACTTCTAGAAAAACTGCTTTCTCAGACTAACATAAAGCAGTCTCTTTCTTACCCCCCTGCTCTGTCCCCTCATTTCTGATACGAAATAGGATCATGTGTGATTTGAAAACACTTTCGGTCATCTCTTGTTCTGCTTTCATCCTTATAGAGGGCCTGTGTCTTCAAACCTCCAGAAAAAATGTGCTTTAATACAACAGACTTACTTGATCTCACTTCAGGTTTTCTCTTTCTGCCTCCAGAGTCCACCGTTGTGGTTTTAGGTTGACGGGTAACCCCGGAAGCCAGGAGACCTCTTGATTCTGACCGAGGCAGGTGGTTCTTTTTTCTGTCTTCAGCTGTGTCTGGAAAATGTTTTGAAATACCAGGCTTATGTTATCATCTCAAGCATGTTATACTTCCTGTGCCCCCTTAATGTATCAGTTTAAGGTTTGTGAACTCTGACCTGTGTTGTTTATTCACTTTTCTGAGACTAACAGTTGCCAGCACAGCCTTCTATGTCCTCTCAAGGTGACTTCATTTTCTGCATTTCCAGCGACATCTACACTTTTGACAAACTACAGAATAACAGCCGGACAAGATCCTCATGTCATAATTCAGGCTAGTGTTAGAAGGACTCTAGTGTCTGTGTAAGTTGTGATTATTTAAGTGGTTTGAGATTTAAATCGAGGTTATGAAATAGTTTTGTCAGGTGTTTAGAGTATGAAGAATGTTATGCAAATAATGTTATGTCTTCATTTCTTATTACTAGTATTTAAAAATCTGAACAATAGGAGGAAAGGACATCTTAGAAGTCCTGCTTGTCATCTCGGTCTGACTTCGATGGTTCTACTTTTAAGTTTCTGTCGGTTGTGCTTCATGTTTGTAGTGGTCCCTTCCAGCTGCAGAATTCTGTGTGTCTAATTAAACTCGCACTGGCAGCACTTTGGAATGCTAACCTTAATGTCTCTGTGCCCATCCCCTGCCTCCCCATTTTTATTTAGTAAAGTTTATTTTTCAAAATGTACCGTGGTGGGACCTGTTCGTGCGTCTTTACTAGCAGCTGGGACATCTCCGCCTTTGGTGTTTCTGGTAGAAATTACTTGAACTCTGTGCTTTGAAGCCAGTTTAATGAGGCCTTTACTAAGGCGCTCCTGAGGGCTGCCTCCAGGGAGCTGTGAGCCTTCAGTCTCAGAGGTGACAGCGGGGCTTATAAGCTTGTAGTCGGGAACTTTCTTACAGAGTTTGTCTTACTTGACGTTGTCAAACAAAACTAGATTATTGAGCTTGTCCCAAATTTTGCCTTTGAATCACTTCTTTTTGGCCTTGCCTTCAGGTTTGTTCACTGGGTCTCTGTCTGTCTATCTCGACTCACTTCCCAGCGTCTCTCTTTCTCTTGTCACCCTCGGGTGGCATCGCAAAACTCGGAGAGGCTGCTACCACTGCAGCCGTGCTAAGGTGTGGGACCAAGAAATGGTCCCCATCAGTCACAAAGTCAGGAACATTGTTTAGTTTCTTGTATATATTCAATATTTTCTTGAGAACTTATAAATTGCTTACCCTGGACTAAGGTAAAATGAACATTAAGTAGGAAGAATGCAGAATCATCTCTTTTTTCCTGAACTTTTTCAAAACTGTGTTTAATTATACTGCTTCTTAAAATTATAAAGCTATAATTATATATATATAGTGTGTGTGTGTACATACATACAACATACCAATTATAAAGTGTATCTTAAGTGTATGTAATTTGTATTTTTAGTAACATGAACAGCTAATTTCAAAATCATAAGCCGTCTTAGAAGAGTAGATGGTATCATGGTAGCCAGTGTTTTTCTTTCTGGATGTTATATCTTAAATCTTAAATGGTCATCTAATTCTAATTTCTATCTGCTGCCTGTTGTTATCAGGCTGGGTGGCTTTAGCATTGACTATCTTTGCTCAGGTGAAATTGCCAGATAAAATTGCTAATGACAGACACGATTCACGTTAGAATAGAAGAAATTATGGTTGAGCTATATAGTAAGTAGCTTCACTCATAAAGATACCCTGATTTAAATAAAATCATCAGAGTCTTTTTTTCTAAATTTCTCTCTATAAAATTACTAATATCCACATACATGTTACACATACATTAATAAAACATACGTAAAGTATATTTCTGTTTGTGGATCAGAGTTTTGTGTTACTCCAGCACCGTTCATTATGTTTTAATGCCACCTTACTCTGACATCTCAGCTGCTGCTGAGCGCCAACGTATGTCCACGTTAGAGTGAAGACCAAGTTTTGACAGGCGAGTAGCTGGAGCACTGTGTAGTGAGTAGCGTCATTTAGTTGTTTTGAAACTTAGCGAACTTACGACTGAGAATGCCCAGAGGTACAGCCCTTCTCTCCTGTGAACTAACAGCCAGACTGTTTGTAATTTCCCGTGCTATTTAAAACAGGGTTCTCATGTATCAGCCATCTTCTGTAAGGGTGCCCAGTGTGACTTCGGTTGATCCTGCTGCTCTTCCGCCCTCATTAACAGACTACTCTGTACCATTCCACCACACGCCAATATCAAGCATGTCATCCGATTTGCCAGGTATGTGAAGCGTTGTTTGGTTTTTTTTAATCAAATTTTAACTTTTTATTTTTTTCAATCTTAATCTGTGGAGCAAATATAAATATTTTAAATAGAAATGTGAGAAAATTTGAAGGGTTCATGTAAATACAGTACCTGTTTTAAATATATCACATTCAGTTCCTGTCATTTTAACTATAATGCAATCTATGGATTCCTGCTGAGAGGAAATAAATAAGTAGGACACTAGGAAAATCTTGCAGAATTATTCCCCCTCGTAGAGAATTTATATTCAGGGACTTTTTCTTGATTTACTGATCATGGAAGCTTCACAGGTTAGGGAGGATGTTTTTCATACCTTTTTTTAAGTAGTCCATCACTTCTTGGTAGCCCATCACTTCAGAATATAGTGGTGTATGGTGGGGTCAGTGTTGCCTTCCAGCTTTACCCTGTGAAAATAGGGTCGACCTGCTGCTTCCCCAGAGCACTGCTGATATGTAGGGACACCTTTCATGGATATATTAACTCAACGGGTAAAAACTTCAAGACTACTTGAATTACCAAGACTTATGCAACCAAGGCCATATTATAAAACTTAACCTTTTCCCCCCTCACTCTTCTTCCCTCCTTCCATAGCCATTGTTTCTGCAGACTTTTTTTTTTAATCAATCAAATTTGAGTAACTTAGAATCAGTGACTCTTAAATTCATCACTTCCCTTCTCTCTGAATGCCCCTTTTAGTGGGAATACAGCAACCTCCTCCTGTTATTAATTTTCTTTTCTGGATTTACAAACTTAATTTTGACCTGTGATTTATTCTTTTACCCTTCTTGATAAGGTCTTTATTTTCAGCCCACTATATATTCTGTTGGACAAAATTTGTGTTGTTGAAACAGTTGACAGTTGTGTACTCGGGCCCAGTATAATTTTGCCACTTGAAATTTGTTCAGAGTTTATTCAGTTTGAATAAAATTTAATGGAAAAGAATAGACTAAAAATGGTATCCATCAAAAAAAGTTTAAAATACTTTTTACTTCTCAAATACGTTTACTCCATATGTACTTTGGGAATTGGCATTTTAAAAAATTATTTGTAAACCCAGCAAACACCGATGAT